TCTCTCTCTCTCTCTCTCTCTCTCTCTCTCTCTCTCTCTCTCTCTCTCTCTCTCTCTCTCTCTCTCACTGTGTAGAATGCAGCAAATGCACCCGTATCTCCAGGAAAAACAGCTGTTGACACTACAAATGTAAACAATGCCACGTATCGGTAAGCAAACCACATCACTGTGACCATGTTAAAATTTACAGTGGGACACTTCAGATACCTAATGTCATGGATAATCCCTGTATTTCCTGTTTTGTTTTTTTTTTTAGTTGAAGTGTTCTTCCTTTTGCTTCATTGCTCTTCACTTGTAAAATTTGATTTGCTTTCACAGAAGTAATGAATTGGCAGTATCGAATCTRTTCTTGATTACATTTGGATGATGCTTTGCATCAGTTTTAGTGGTTAAAAAGTTATGGATAGAAGTGGAAGTTTAATTTTAAGAACAGGAAAATTTTCTTGATGCAAGGCAAACTTGGTGTGAACACTTGAAAATTTATCAATAACTCTGTATTTTTTTRGTAGGAAAATACCCAAAGTTAATTTGCGTGAGAAGCACAAAATAGGTTTAGAAAATCTCAAAGAAAAGAACAGCTGTAAAATTAGGGTTTGTTTCACCATTGTACTGTTCATAAGTATGCCTTATGTGGCTTATTGAGAGAAATGCTAACTGAAAGTTCATTCCTTAGAAATGCTGGCACAGTGAGGCAGATGCTGGAGTCAAAAAGGAATGTAGGAGAGAGCACACCAGCAACTTTTCAAGCTCCTGTGAGTACAGGTAAGAAACTCCCTATGGACTATAAGCACATTTTCTTAAATGTTTTATTGCTTTCCATTAAAGAAGTAACTAACTAAACAAAGCAAAACCAATTTTACTTCTTTTTTTTCTGACACAAAACATTATTTTGAGCTCTCTGGCACATTCCCAGTTAATTTTTGTGTGGTGTGCTTACCAGCTATGGGAAAAAATATGTTGATTTGGCTAACCAGAACTTCTGGGTAAATTAGCTGCTTCAGGAGACTGCATGTTAGGTATGGCAGCACAACTGGCTGCCAAGAAGTAAAACACATGGCTCAGGCACCGTATTGTACTTGATAACAGTAGGATGCTGATGGTAGCCTTCCATTATCTAATGACTTTAGAAATGGAGTGGGAAACTAGACAGAAATTATAAAACCCATTTCTTAAAGGAATCATGTTGAAAAGTGGAATTTCTAGATTAAAATTTTATTGGAAATATAGACGCAAACCCACCATTAATTACGTTCATCATAGTCTCACTGTCCTTGGTTTAAAAATAGCTTGTTTAATATTGAATGCTGAGTGTTTCCCACAGGATTATCTCGTAGTAGGCATGTACTGGCTTTCAGTAGTGTATTTTACTCCTGATCTTTAGAATTAACCCTGAAATTTTGTCGCATAAAGGCAAATGTCTTTTCTGACACATTAATACTTGTTTTTGGTAGAACCTTTTGGATACAAGGTCCTACCTATACAAGGCAAATTAGTTATAACTCACATAATTTCTCTTTGTGTTTTGTGAAGCACCAGTTGCTCTGCCATTTCTGTAATCAGTGTTTATAATGCTATCTTTTGTGGTTAAATCTTGGAGCTTTCTTCAAGCCTGTGTCATAATTCTTTATATGCATTTTTTATGCCATTTCTTAGAAATGCAGTATTGACTGTATATTTAACCAAGCTATTGAATATCAGTATACAACAGAAAAACAGTATCTGTAGCCTGTATTTGGAAAAAAAAAGGAATTATACACCATCTTTTTCATAGAATCATAGAATAATTTGGGTTGAAAGGGACCTTTAAAAATCATCTAGTCCAACCCTGTTGCCATGGTCCCGGACATCATTCACAAGATCAGGTTGCTCAAAGCCCTGTCCAGCCTGACTTTAAATACTTAAAATGATGATTGGGCGTTCACAGCCTCTCTGGACAGCCAGTTCCAGTGACTCACTGTGCTCATCATAAATTGTTTCCATTTGTTGTGTTGCACTCAAACTTCCCACTCGATTCAAGTGCTTATTTTTTTTGTTTATTTTTTTGTGTGTAGTGCCTGCTTCCAGTCTTGCTGCTTCTCCAGCAGTTGTCAGTGGACATCCTAAGCTTCAGACTCCAGTGTCTTCCACCAGCTCTTTGACAACAACAGTTCTTCCCACAGCTAGCACAGCTACAGTTGTAGGCGCTAACCAAGTGCCCACCGGCAGCACTCAGTCGGTGTCTGTCTCATTGCAGTCTTTGCCCGTAATCCTGCATGTGCCTGTTGCGGTCTCATCCCAGCCTCAGCTTCTGCAAAGCCACACAGGGACTTTGGTCTCTAACCAGCAGTCAGGCAACGTTGAATTTATATCCGTACAAAACTCGTCTACAGTTGGTAGCCTTTCTAAAACTACAGTGTCTTTGGCATCAACTAACACAACTAAACCAAATAACATCCCACATGTGCCCAGTCCTGGTATTCAGAGGAACTCTACCGCCAGTGCTGGGTCAATAGGTACAACGTTGGCAGTGCAGGCTGCTCCTACTACACATCCTGTTGCCCAGACCACAAGGACTTCTTTGCCCACAGTGGGTACTTCAGGACTTTATAATGCAACCGCCAGTCGAGCTCCCCTACAGATGAAGATTCCCCTCTCTACATTTGGTAGTACAACTCCTACTGAACCACCCGCCGTTGCAGCACCCAAGATTGGTAAGTTATACTTGAATGTTGACACTGGGAAAGGAGGATAATGGTCAGAGGGAGACATAAAACTGCACTCCATGGAAAATTGTTTGTAATGTGTTTTACAGAGATGGTGGTTCTAGGTTGCATTTCTGTTGAAATTGTCAAGATCAGTATTATCTTTATGATAGATCTGTTTCAGACATTGTTCAGATTATTCAGAAAATAATCTCCCCTTAGAATCAGCAGTTTGGCTTTTTAAGCTTTATTTGGAATTTGATTTATGTAATTCTTAGCATGAAGTCAGAAACTCATACCATTAAGACTGGGTATTTATTTTTAAACAGCCTCTTAGGATAATATGAACTGCCTTTCTAAGCAGAGACATACTGAAAGGAAAGTATAATTATAACTTAATTTTCACAACTCTTAAAAGTAAACAAAACAAGAAAAAAAAACCAACTGAATTCTAATTAGTTCAATACTAAATGCTAGTTCAAAAGGAGTATACACTTGCAGTATTTAAATAAACTCTGTAAACACAATAAATGCTCAAATATCAATATATAGAGTTACTATTTTAAAATACTTTTTTTTTCAATCTTTGGCCATGCCCTGATGATACTCTGCGCTTTTGATTTTACATACCTTGAATTTTTTTTTCCAAGAGGTCTTCAAGATTTGTGAGTTGGAGCTACAGCAAGCTCCTCTTTGGCGCAATATAAGCAGAGCTTGCCATCGAAACTAGTTTAATTTAATTTTCCTAAATCTAAGTTACCTATGCTAAAATGTATGCTTCCTAGTGTTGGACATTTATGTTTTATATTGGTTCTTAGCTCTAAAGCAAATAGAAGTGATATAAGACAACATAAACAGTATTTTGGCAGATGAGATAGTGACAAAAGGGATAACCTGGGTGTCCAAAGAATATGTCTCATTTTATGCAGTTCCTGTAGACTTACTTTATTCCGTAGTAGTTTTCTCACCAAAATTGAAACGCTGATTAGAGCCAGCACTGTTGGTGATAAGGTCTGGTTAAAATGAAAAGGAATGAGGACAGAATTTAGATTTATATATTTACATAAGATATTAAAGCAACTTTGTAAATTGCTAGTTTAATATGGTGCTAATAAAGGTACTCAGTCTCCCTGTCTCAGTGTTATATTTTGCAGCTGGTTTAACCATCCTTTTTTCAGTCAGGCTTTTTAAAAATGGAAATATTTAATAATTTTATTATTTTTCAGTTTAATATCAGTTTGCATGCACAGGAAGGAGAGGTTGGAGTTATACTTTGTCCTCAGATAGGCAAGGAAATTGGTCGTAAAATGTTTTTAATACACTGTCAAACTTACAAGGAAGGGAGCACATTAATCAGACTCCAATACTTATAATTGAAAATTGGGACTAAAGATAAAATATGTCACATACTAAATGTTGAGTATCAAACTATTTTGCATATTGCCTTCATATTTGTCTAGTGGGTAGCAATAATTAGTAATGATTAAATGCTGCAAATGAACAATTTCTTGACCCTTCAGACAACCAGACGAGCAGGCCACCAACAGATACTTCAGCAAACAAACGACCTGCAGAGGGAGCAACACAGGTAGGCTTTTGATTGTTTCTATGCAAAATTCTGAAGTTACAATCCACAGGAGAAAAGTTCTTTACCTTTGTTGCTTATAATGAAACAAGTTTAGTTTCTTTTGTGCCATCCTTTCTAGTTTCTCTCAGTTTATACTTTCCTTCTTCTGATTCATTGTTATTTGGAGCATGAACTTCTGATAATATTTTCAGAAGTTTTCTGATGCGGTTTTTGTAGGTAGATGAGTTGGTAAATCAGGAGCAGGCTAAAAATTGTCTGATGAAATAGAGCTAACATACAAAGTAAAGCCTGCCCAATCTTTGAATGTTTTGAATTTAAAGCTATAAATATTTTATAAATTATTGTGGTATTCTCATTTCCACACTAATCCAGAACTTTAAATTTGGCTTCTAATGTTTGATTGCCATATATCATGGGATGAAAAAAAAAGGGAAATAAACCTTCTTCAGGAATAGCTAATAATATTTTAATAATAAAGGATAACTCGAAGTATTACTGGATTTCTTGACTAAAATTTGTTGAACATACTTTGAAATTTAAAGTTTTAAATAAAGCTATTTGAAATTCTTCATGATTSTCTTTCTACTTATACATATTTCATAAAGCACCTCATACTTAACTGTTCCTGTTAACCTGAAGTCATTTTAGTAAGTGAAATAAAATTAATATATTCCAGCCAACATTTCCTAATTCATTAGTGTGTCAAGGTACAGATGATCTAAATTGTGTTTCAAAGCAAGAAGAAAATATATTGGATGATATCCTGGTTTTCACCTGTTAGAAGTAGTCTGTCAAAGGTAGCCAGTATTTTAAACTGTGCCTCACTCTATCTTTCTGTTAAGGCATTTCATAAAGAATGGTTGTTTGGAACTTGATTTTTCAAAGATACCTGTGGATTATAGCTATTAAAATCCTTGTCACTACTTGATATGTAGGAAATCCAGTACCATAATGRATAACAGTAGTAGAGTTTTAAGACTTAATTTTCAGTATAAGATGCATATTTTGGAATTTTTCTTCAGTTAAGCCTGAAACCTGGAAAAAATTCAGAAAAGCAGATTATGTGTGATAGTGGTACTTAGCAGTGGAAGGTGAGCTAGGAGGAGGGAAATAAAAGACATAGGATGTTTTCTGGTTTTCAGTCTTCTGTTGTAGTGTATGTTCTAGGTTTGCTTTCCATGAAATCAGTTAAAGCATGTGTAATGCCATGGTTAAAAAAGAAGGACCTGATGTATTTTAATTGGCTAATGATGTATGGAATTGACATGCCATCCATTTGAAAAATCCACTTAATGCCACCTGCTTTTTGTTACGTAAAATCCAAAATATTATGTATTACTCCACACTTCGCAGCTGTCAGATCAAAAAGTAGTTCACTGTGTGCCGTATACCTGTGGCATATTTGATGGTACAACTTTGATCAATTGTTTCGAAAAGCAGTTGAAACAGGAAGAGACTTCATCAGAAAATAAAGAAGCAGTAGAAGCAGCACAGATGAATTTTAACTTCCCTGAGGATGTCCTCTTTGGCTTGGAGGAAGAGGAAGAGGATGCTAAGAGCATCAAAAACACCCACAAGCAGACTGGCTGGGCAGCTAACCTATTAAAACAGTGGCTGGCCAAAAATGGCAAGGATCCTAGCTTTGAATTGGTCCCAGTAAGTGAACTCAATGATATCTTAAGAGAGTTTTATTACACAATAAGAAATCATGATGGAAATACCTACAGTGTGGCAAGCTACAAGTCAATGCGTGCTGGCTTAAACCGGCATCTCAAAATGCCACCTTATAATCGTCAGATTTGCTTAATGAAGGACAAAGAGTTTGCCAGTGCAAACATGGTGTTTGTGAGCGTGCTGAAGATGCTGCGCATGCAGGGAAAGGATGAGACTCACCACCATCCTCCTATAGCTGCCGAGGACTTGCGTAAGATTAAGCAGTCTGGTGTGCTGGGTTTGCACAGTCCACTGGCACTCGTCAACAAGGTGTGGTTTGATTTGCAGTTGCATTTTGCCAAGCGAGGGAGGGAAATTCTGAGAGATCTGGCTCCAGATGCGTTTGTTGTTGAGAAGGACAAGAACGGGCGTCGGTATGCTATGTTTAGGTATCCTGGCAAAGGAAAATGTGGAGAAGATCCTCATAAAATGGGTAAAATGTATGATATGCCTGGGGATCCAAACTGTCCTGTTTTTTCCTTGGAACTTTATTTGTCTAAGTTGCCTCCAGAGCCCCCTGCCTTTTACCTGCACCCTTTAAAGCTAACGTCAGAGCAAATGCAAGAACAGCCTGTCTGGTACAAAAGAGAACCAATGGGTGTTAATTACCTGGGTACCATGATGCCCAGGATAAGTGTGGCAGCTAGGCTCTCTCAGCGGTACACCAATCATTCTCTCCGAACTACCACCATCCAGCTACTGTGTGAAGCAGGACTGGGGCCTAGAGAAATAATGGCAGTGACAGGCCATCGCTCCGAGTCTGCTATTAGACACTATTGGGGATCTGCAGAGGTTCGCTACAGGGCCTGGTCAGATATAATGGAAAATAATGCCCCCAGTTACCTACATAGCAAGATCCCAAATGAAGTGATAAAAGAATCAGTATCTGGTGCATCCACCTCTTCTGTAAAACATGTTCTAGAACAAAACAAAATTTTATTCCCTACAAAATCTGTGGTATCACCTGGCACTAACTGTGTAGCTTTAGTCCCTGAGGAACACCCAGCTCTGAATTGCAGAAGCCCTGTCCTGTTGAACCACAGTTCTTCCAAGGTGTTTCTCCCCAAGAGCATGACCAGTGGGAGCCTAACTGCCGGTCCCCTTCAAGGCTGCGGTAACAAACCTGTCTTTATAAGGCGTGTGATAAAACAAGAACCAATGACTTGATGCTTCTGTAATAGAGCTGATTTCAAATGAATTGCTTAAATGGAAAAATTACCAGAGTTGTTTCTTTACTTGGTCTTCTGAGGAAATTTCTTATGGTCTAGTTCAGCAAGAAGTATCCTGTTCACACTCAAGATATGAGCTATGGAGCAGAAACTTAAACAGGGCTTGGAGTTTGTATGGCCTTTTGTGGCAGCTGGGACTCTTTGAAGTGGCTGAGCAGAACTATTTAAAAAATATTAAAGGGAGATACTGATTTCCATTTAGCTGAAGATAGGCTTTCTTCACTGAGAGTGTGGCTTTTATATTTTGTGAAGTGTTATTTATCATACCATTTTGTGCCTGCTGGCATAATGTAGCATCTTGCAAATCAAATACTTGATTACTGAAAAGCACCAAGAAAGTAGAAACTGAATGAAATAGACACAGATGCACTACAAATATGTACATACGCATGAAAACACCTGGAATTGCTTAACTACTGTCACCCTCTGTTCAAATTGTTATCAGACCTACCACAGGATTGTGCTTTTTTTTTTTTTTTTTTTAAAGCATTCTTCTAAACTGATTTTCACTGTGGGCTGCAGATTTGCTTTGCAGGGCTTTCCTTTTCCTACTTAGTATCTTTGGCTTAAGATTCCAGTCATTGTGTTCTCCAAAGGCACTACTGATACATTGGTATTAAAATTGGGATCTCTTCAGTTGTGCATGAAATGGGGAAAACATTCTGGAAAGAGCTGAAAACAATTTCTTGCTTAAATGCCATATAATTAGAGTTTAAATGTTGTCTCTGTGCTGAGAGGTTTTTTTTTTTTGTATTTCCTCTCACCAATCCCTTCCTTATATTTCACATCATCTTTCCACTCTAGTCTGGGTCAGTATAATGTAATTCACAAGATGTGCATCCTGTTCTTCCCCACTGAACCCTGTACAAATATGTTTGGTTTTAACTTCTTCAGATTAGTAAACTGATCCTGTCATTATATTTTGTACAGATTTTTACAGGTTAGAAATTCTCAGGATAGTGGATGTGAAGAATAATTTTCACCATAGATTCTGACAAGTGATTTTCTTGTAAATAAAAATGGAAAATTGGTTATGGAATCACAGATTATGGTAGGTCCACTTTGGAAGAAGAAACACGGTAGCATTTAAAATTGTTTTTCATTATATAACTGAATTGAATAGAAATTGCTTTGTCCTTTTCAAATGTGTGTATACACATGCACTCTACACACATGGTTTATCACACTAAGGACTTCACTTGAAGTGTTGATGTTGCTCAACAGCAGACAAAATAGAGAAAAATCCCAGCTGAAATAACAAATTGACCATGATAAACTCTTAATTGTGTGAAGAACTTCCTTGCTGGCATAGACTTTCAAATATTGAATTAGATTTATCTCTCTGTTATAGTATATAATTTATATAGACACTGCTCTAGTCTGTACAGAGAACTTGATGCCTGAATTTTGGAGTTTTTATCTTTGCTGATAGTATTTACCTTTGTTGCCTTGTATAGGTTGTTTATACTTAACAGCATTAATTTTCTGGAGTGTAAGACCAGCACAGTACTCCATTTTCTGATGGATCTAATTAAATATTAAAAGGTTTTGAAAGTTCTATCCTGATCTTATACTCATTTATGATTGAGATACTTGGTCAGATGTAATTGTTAATATAAAAATTACTTCTGCACAGTCCTACTTCCTTAGTTGGAGCATAGGAAAGAAAGCATGGATCATTTTGTCAAGCCTAAAATAAATCAATCAGAGATGGTACAGAAAGTGATCCTTTCTGATGGCTAGAAGAAAGAGTGAAAAAAAGGTCGGACAGTTCTCAAAACTTAGAAGAACTGTGCAGTAACTTATTCTAGTGTGTTTTAGGGTAGTATAGATTTTCAAATTTTAGGGATTCATAGAATTCCTAACTCATCCAGAGTGGTAAATTTAATTTTGTTTTTGAAGAAATTTAATCTAAACTTTCACCAGGATGGGTGTATCTTACTATTCCCCCACAAAAAAAAAAGGTTCCTGTGTTTGTCCAAGGTAGTTGCTTCTTCCAGCATACTGGCATTGAACATTTACCCTCCAGGAAGAAGAAAAGTATGTTGCCAGGAGATGATTCTTTTTTGTTCCCTCTTGCTGCATGCTGTGGTCATACTGACCACATGCCCTGCTCTGGTTCTAACTGCATCTGGGTGACTCAGTGCAACAGCAAATTTCTGATGGTTTCATTCTTCAACATGAATCTAGCTGGTGATTAAAACAGAAACAGGGACTCTTCTGGCCGATTTTGGCATACCTCTCATTCTTTTTGATTATCATTTGGCTTCTAACTTGACTTCCATTCTATTGGTTTATAATTGGGTATTTTTGGACTCTCATTTGTTAAATTCTAATTCTGTTGGCACCAGCTGTACAGCGTCCTCTTGCTACCTTCAGTTTGAATCTGATACTTCAAAGCCACTGACCGTAGTATTACTAGCTTCTGTTTTTTTTCTGTGGGAGAACTTTCTTTTTTAATGGTTYGGACTAGTATTATTGCTTCACAAGACCTGGGATCGTTGTTTACTAAGCTTTCTGTTAAAATCTGAATTAATTCTTGTTAGTAGAACATCTTTGTAACCTTCCATAAGTGAAAAATCTTTCTCCTGTTTTCCCTCCCACCCAAATTGTTAAATGAATCTTTCCTACCTGTATTTTATTTCTAGAAAAACTGAAGTAAACAGAATGCATATGTTGCTGCTTTTGTAAAGTCAATTTTGGCTGTAAGTACAGTAATATGGGGAGCAGAGGGTCAAGTTTCAAGTCAGTTTATGGTGATACAAGTTATGTGTGAACATACCGAATTCTATCAAAAGGGACATGAATTGTACTCCTCAGTTGCAGTGTCAGCAGAGAACCTCAAACAGCAGGATAACAGAGTTTCTCAGGGTTTTTCCCATTATTTTTCTGCTATAAGAGGAACCTGTTGTTGAACCAACAGGTTAAGTATGGTTTGTTTGGCTAAACTTAGATTTAGACTTTGGCTGCACATTTAATGCAAAATTGCCAATCGTCATTTAAAATTCCCCTTAAAAATCTAAGTATAACAAATAGTTTTTGAAAGAAATAGTCTGTGATTCTTGAATTTTCTAATTAGATCTTCACCTAAAATCAGATTGTTTCATTTCAGTTGCGAAAAAAGCCCCAAAGAAACAAAATCCTCTACCAAAAAAAAAAAAAAAAACCAAACCCAAATAAACAACACAAATGAAAAACCAGGACTTAGTTTAGTCAACTAAATTAATTTTTTTTCCTACTAGCTGCTGTATTATTGATTAAATTCCATTTCCTTTGATGGAGATAACCCTGGAAACAGTGGAGAATGACTGGTTCCTTATATAATACTTCCATAAATTTAGTTTTGCATCTCATTTTCATAATTCAGCTTTGATACTAGTGCTGTGAATCTAGAACTTGTTTTCTCTGTGTTTTCCTGTTAAGTTTGGAAATCTCAGCTGTTACTTTGAGGGGTACTCTAATTTTTGTTTTTATGACGTTGGCATGGTATCTTAAAGTATGTTAAATTTTCTTTTCTAAATGCACCTTCTCTGTACCATGTGAAGAGTTCCACTGTGCACAGTGTCAAATACCCGAAGGCATTGGAAGGGTGCTTTGAAATTGAATTTGTTCTTGGTTTTGTTGTGGTTTTAGTCTAGTACCTCTGGTTATTGTGAACTGTACAGCTTCTCAGCAGTTGCTGTTTAGGTCAGTATAGTCAAAGTTTTCAGTAAGCAGTTTGGACATGCAATTTTGCTATATGACTGTTTCTTCTTTTTCAGCCTTTCTCTCTTCTTCTTGCTCCAAAAGGAGTGGCTGCAGGGATGTGGAAGGGGGCATCTTACTATGTCTGTGTTAGTCTTTCATCTGCAGCTTTTTTCTGTGTAAACAGAAATTTAAGGGTTGCTATTTGGCCCCAGTGATTTTACCAATGGCAGTTCCAGTGCCTCGGGTCCTTGAGTAGCATTTCTGAAGACATGACAAGCACTTTTAATGTATTGGGATAAATATTATTGTTATAGAGGCAAAGGCATTTTAAATTATATAGCAAATCTTTAGAATGGTTTGAAAGTATTTTAGTATTAATCCCAGTTATAGATACAGGATTTATATATATTATATAAATATAGCTATGGTAGAATGAGAAAACCTATGAGAGCAGTGTTATTATACTGTAACATAACACTGAACAAATCTTAACAGAGTTTGATGTGTTAAAAATGTCTGGTGTAAGTCAATCTTCAAGAATGTTTGCATTATATTTATTAAAACACCAAGTCAGGTGAATAGTTGAGTATTTTTTTTTCTGTTCCCTACTTCATGTGCACCTTATCCTGTTAAGGAGTAAAGCTTCTTTTCAATCTGAATTTCATCTGTGCATTTCACCTTACAGCTACTGTTAGTTTATTAAATAAAAGTCCAGCAGTATCCTATCAATTTCCCATTGTTTCTGACATAGCTTGATGTATTTGGTTGAACTACAGTTTAATTTAAGCTATTTTCCTGACTATTGGAAATTCATCTGGTAAAACATTAATAAAGTACATTTGTAACTCCTATCTCTTTACCCTGCAGTGTGTAACAAACTTTGTGAGTCTCTCTTGGGAAACAATATGAGCAAAGTGGATATGTCAGCTTACAGKTTATAAGCAGCTATTTTATATTGTCTAATTATTATAGATGAATATGTTCCCTTGCATTTCATGTTTTTTTCTCTGAAAATAAACGTTTATAGTTATATATGTAAAATGGGCTACGTGACTTTTGTCTCTGACCCTGGAGTTACGYTTGTGATGTTTAAAATGCAACTAGCTGTCATCCGTGAGGTGGAATCTTTGCCTAAGTAGAAAACTAAATCATAAAGTTGTTACCAGGAAATCAGGTAGCTGAGTTGGATGGCTGATTTAAGGAACACAATTAAAATGTGTGACTTTTAAGGTTAGTTGTCTTTACCTGTGACTGTGTGTGTTACCTACAGCACCCTCAGCTACTGAGAGCAGTTTTTAATGGGTATACTTGTGTATTATAAACTCAAATTTGTCATTTGGGGCCAAAAAAATTGGGAGTGATGTTTAAACAATCTAACTGATCATGTCATTACTCCAGGCATAGGTAATAACTTTTAAAAGCTGCCGTAAACTAATGTGAAAAGTATTATAAATATATTTACTGTTAAATGAGATGATCTTCCACCATCCAAGATGGCCACCCCACATGGTACTATTGGGAAACTCAGTGAGTCTTGGGGAAATAAGGTAGATGTTTCACTTTCAAAGGGTGAAAACCAGTAAAGGGATGTGTGTGCATGAATGTATGTTTGTGTTTATTATATACCCTTTTAACTGTGATAAAGGAAAAAGTGAATCACATCTGTAAAAAATACTTCTAGCATTGTGTCATGTGTTTCTTTGTAACTTCTACTTGGGACTATGATTGTGAGCATCTAAAATCAGTTCTGGCAACCAGTCTCTTATTTATGTTCTTGTTAATAGGTGTAGCCAAGCTAACATCTGCTCTTTGCACCAAAGAAATGAGAGGGTATATAATTCTTTGAGGTTACTATGACTGGTTATTCATTTTTTCCATGCTTGCATTGTTCTTGTTCTGTAGGAAGTGTTGCACAATACCAGTTAAGGGTGAGGAGAGTGTAGCAATCTTGTGAATGCAATATAAAATGTCTGTCAAAAGTGTTTTTGAGTGTTATACAAATATGCAACCGCATAGTATCAAAACATGTATTGCAGCACTGTGAAATTTGGTTTGTGTAAACTTTGATGTTGGTAAACTGCTTCCTTTATTGCATTACCATTTTCCTTTTTATCTTGGTAAGATATGACAAATGCGTTTGGTACATGGTTGAGTAGATTCTCATGGCATCTTTCCAAGGCTGAAATAATTACTTCAGTTTTGTGGGAGTTACTGCATTGGAAAAAATAACAGTTGAGAAGTGATAAATCTGACACTGAAGGAGTCAGTGACTGAAATATGCTCACAAATGTATTAAAAAAAAGTAATTTTCACAACTGCTTAAACTGTGCTTGAAATATGTAGTTGTGTATATGGATGACTAAAAATGAAATTCTGACCTTACAATTATACATACAAACACACCTTGGCCACTCTATCTACATGCACCCCATTCCCAGACCATATTTTTAACATCACTACCCATAATTTAAGATTGATTTTGCTATTATATAACGCTTTGSTGCATCATGTATTGTTGTGATGGTGTGATGCTTCATAAATTGTCTGGTTTACAACCTCCAGATTTTTTCTAGTTTGTTATAGTAGGGATGATTAATAATAAAATTGTCTGCACTGTGTCAGTTTGGCACACCTAATCTTCAGAATTTTGGTCTTTGCTACTCGAATTATTTTTTTTTATTTTTGCAATGTATTTTTTCATTTTTCCCCCTTAATTTTTCACTTTTACATGCTGAAATGTTCCTTTATGAAAAGCAGGTGGCATTGCAATCAACAACCTTGCTATCTTTTTGTGATGAACTGAACTGTGGCGTTATATAATACCAAAACTTCTAAATTAATATATATCGTGTGTGAGTAGAGAAGCGCATATTCAGAACTTGCATCAAAATACTGCTTGTAGCTTTTAGTTTTTCACTTGGTACAATATATATGCATGTTGTTGGGCTGTTCAATTTGAGCTTTAGAGGTTTCTTTCCCAGTTTTCTACAATAGTTTGCCATTGGTTTATATGTGCTGTAGTGTATTAAGTTGTTCTTTTTGTGTTAAATTCCACAATTGCAATTATGGTGGGAGATAAATTCTCTCAATTATCATGTCTACCATATGTGCTTTGGAATATAAATTGTCTCCTTCCTTACATTTGTTTTCCTTGTGGTATTAGAATAGCTTTTTTTACACCCATCACCACCATTTTTTCTTTCCTTGCTTTTCAAAATTCCAAATGGTGATTCAACCTCATTTGTAGCAGTAATGATCTAAAAAACGTTGCTAGATAGCAAAGCTAAGGTGATGTTGTTTCTCCCACTCCGGTGCATTTTAAAACAGTGTAAAATGGTCTCTGCAAGTGGAAAAGCACATATAATGGTTGTAGCCTGTCTCCATGTCCCTACTTTTCTAGGTAGATGGAGAAACAGCTTCAGAATCACTTGAACACCAGAGACAGCTCCTCATTTTATTGCAAGGCTGATGCCCATCTGATTCCCCTTTATTAATACAGTATTTGCTAGCATGTAGAGTAATTGATTATTTGATATTGCAGTCAATGACATATAGGATCCAATGACCGTCTTCCAAAAGAAAGAAGTTCTTAATTATGAAACATTTACATGGATTTTATTGCAAATCTTAATTGTGGCTTCAGGTTCAGGTGACACCGTATGAATCTGTGACAAGTTTCATGATTTTATTACTTCTAAGAACCGCTTTTCTGTTGCACTTACTGTATAAATTTCTAAAATGTCCATATGATGCTGGTTTTAGAAAGTCAGTGTATAATTCTTTCCTTTCTCAAGGAAAACTGCTTATTGCTGGTTATTCCTAGCAATTATCCCCACAAGTATATCTTATTTGTCAGCCCATCTATTTCTCAGTGCTTTCTTCAGTTCTTGAAGAGTGGTTCTTGAGTGGTTGGGATTGAAGAAAGCAGAGATAATGTTGCATATGCAGTTGAAAATGCATGAAATTGTAAGCATAGGTAGTTTTTACTGATCCTTTTCAGAGATCACTGGATTGAAATGTAATTACTGAAATGTAAATAGAGATTTTACACAATTAATTAAAACGAAGTCTGTTTCTAGTAGTTTTCATGGTGACAAAAATCTTAAAATGTTACTTTTAGAAAAAACTTTGCGGTCAGAACACTTAGAAATGCTGATTTCTAATATTAAGTGAAAAAAACGCATTAATTTGAATAGTTGCATTCATTTTATGCGTACTTTTCAATTGTTCAAACTCCCATATGCACAATAAAGCAGTTTCCATGTAACTGATGAACAGGCATTTAGAAGAGTCTATGACATCTCTTTCAGGACTTGGCATGTTTCACTCAGATATTTGAAAGGGATGAGTATTAACTCTTTCGTTTTTGCCCTTTCTTGTATGGTCTTCCAGTTGCAGCTTTCACACATTCTGTCATTAAAATACTTTTCCTTCACACTTGCCAAGTGAGATGCTTGCCTGGGGCATTTGCCACACAAACAGATCATTTCATGTTGGTAATTGCAGTAGGTGTGGACATGAGTTTGCAGACTAAAGCAACTGTGGCAGAGGGGCTTCAATTTCACACGATTTTTTTTAAAGAGCACACTTTTCAAAGCAGGTTAAAATTCTAAGCGTGAAGGGCTTTCTTCTTTATGGGCTCTTTCAGGAAAAATGCACAACACTGAGAATAGTGAAGTAACTTTGAAATACGCTTACCCCATCCTTCCATATTTGTGGTAGTGCATGCTCAGTTGCTGCATGGTTTGTTATTCCTTGTTCCACTGCTACTTTTTTTCCTCCTCCTGCTTCTGTTTTTCACCTTTGTTTCTGCTGTTAGTCGTACCTTGCAGTCCACTACCCTCACTTCACCTTGTGTTTTGCCTTTCAGCTCTAAGTTGCATGTGTTGTCTTGGGTTGGATCAACATTAGACTTCAGCATGAAATTTTCAGTTGCAGGAGACRTTGCTTTATGCAAAATTATCTTAATTGCAAATGGAAATTCACCTACCAGCTGAAGACTAGTGATGTGGCTATATTAAGGGAAGTCAGGAAAAGATGAAGTCTTGTATTTTTCTCACTTTCTTCCTACAGCGTAGGAATATGTTCACATACATATTTAAAACTCTGGCATTTTCAGAGTGGGACTTGTTAGATTGAATTTTTAATTCCATTTTTAATTCACTTTATTAATTTCATTGTTTTATGTTAAGGTTATTGCACTGCTGACTGCCATATGAAAGGAGAGAGGTATTTAAATTAAGGTCATTCTGATACAGGTGTAATTAGCTGGATGTTCCAGTCCATTGCTACTTCAGAGTATACAAACTTTGCTCACCTGCTATGAATAAAACAGATCCAAAATGTTAATGTGAATGACTGTATTTTGGAGGATTTATACTTACTTGGAATTTAAAGGCACATACATTAAGATACATGAGCAGTAAAAGAATGGAGAAGGGTGTTTGGTAGCTTACATTTCTTTTAAATCTCCGAGTAAACTTTCTTTTGCTAGATTACTAGAAAAATTGCCCAGATAATGTTGTAAACAATCCAATTTAAGTGCAGCTTCTGTTTGCTCTGGAAACTGCTGTGCTGGTTCTGACAAATGATGACAGGCTGGCTTGGAGGGTAGTGGCTTTGTTCACTTTGGTTGGCTTTGTTTGATTTTGTGTTTGTTATTTGTAACTGTAAAGTTTCAAATATATACCAATCACTTTATATTGCTGTGGTTGTTTGTGTTTCATCTTATTTGTACTCTAAGGTGGGTGGATTCTTTGTTACTAAGACTCGTTAGGCAATGTTTGAACTAAAACATCAGGCATATATTTGGGGTTCTCGTTGATGGTTTTTATTATTTCACTAGTGTGGCTGCACTGATAAAATGGTGTTAAGATGACATCATCTTGTTCTGCAGAGATCAGCTGAAGCAGTTTCACGTTGTTGTTGGCTTGTTGTGTTTGGAGGTATCTAAAAAGTGATAGCAGACCAGAATGCTTTGACTTTGCTTTTCTGCTTTACCAGTCTCTACCCAAATGCTTGCTGAAATCTAATATTAGGAGTTGAAAGACTTGTCCTCTTGTTTCAGTTTTTGACACAAATGGAAGTGTTGTTCATATATGACTGAAAGTCCAGTGCCTGGCTCTACCTTGACTTCTTCAGGGGTGCAAGCATTCTGAAGCTGGGTTTTAATTTTGCTCAGAGCAGCACATCTGAATCTGCATTATTAATGGATAACATGGCAGTCTGCTCCACAGAATCCCATTCCCTCCATTTGAGGAAGAGCAGTTGTTTCTCTGTAGCCTTGACTCAAACATAATTTTGTTGTTAACTGGAGTTTTTACAAGTCCTTGTACTAGAAAAAATAGTCACGATGCTAAGAAGGGGTGGTTTTATTTTCTTGTTTGGTTGAGCATAGAGGCTTCTGGAAACTCATTACTTGCATTTCACAGAGATTATGCCACATGGTTCAATTTATAGGTCTTAACCATCCTAGTAGGGTCCATACTCCAGAAAAATCTGAAATAAGGTGATAAAGTTGCTGTCTCAGATTATGGAGATGTCAAATTTTACCAGAGGGAAGTAGGGTGGACCAGTCTTCTAACACCTGATTCACAGGTGAATTCTTCCTGAATTTCCTTTTCATTGCTGAATTTGAGATACCTGCAGTTATCTGAAAACTGTGCATGCCAACACTGCAGGATGTAGAAATGGATGCTTCTCATCCTTTTGAATGTAGGTGGATGCTGCAAATAGTCAAAATCCTGACCTTTATGACAGGCATGATGAGCAGTCTGTTTTGTGTGGCAATACCCTGCCTAAACCATGCTCTCCTAGGTAGGAAACCCAATGTTCAGCTTTTTCATTTTTTTCAAGTTTTCTTAAGATTTTCCTGTGCCCCTAAATTTCATTTAAGGGGAATACGTGGTTGGTGAAGTAGGGGAATCTAGATGGGGAGGCTCGGGAGACAGAACTTGATTGTGTGCTCTGTTTTGAGTACAGCATCTGCTTGGAATAGCTGGAATGTTTGCCCTGGAACCAAGACTGGGGTGTGCCACAGATTTCYGCTCAAAGGCTGCCCTGCGGATCTGCAGCTTCTAGGGCTAACTACTTCTAGAAAGCTCCTGCTGAGGAGAGTGCTATCCAGGGTCATTTACTAAAAAACCTTGAATAGTATGGCTGGCTAAGAGAAGGTCTTTCCAACTGAGAATTACATGTATGAGACCTTGTTGGTTGAGTTGATTTAGTAGTTGCCGGTTGAGCTAACTCAAGATTTTGGCCTTCCAGACACACCAAAATAAAGAAATGCATGCCATGACACTTGCTGGCTTGGAAATTCAAACAGCTTTCCTGATTGGCACAGTCAACCAGGGCTTTAAAACAGTTAGCTGTCATGCAGAGTATTTTTCTGAGGACTTTGATTTCCTTGCAGAGGAAGAATTGAAAGGAATTACTTCGAGCCAATATATTTCTTAGTGGGAAGAAATTAATAGCTTGGTGTTAGTTCTTTTCTTTTTCCAGTTCTTTATAAATCTCCCTCTCCATTTTTCAGTCTGCTTTCTCCTGGCAGAGGGAGCCGTGGTTCAAAATGCACATTGTTGGCTGGGAAGATCAAGTTGGAATGAAATTCCTCTTGGCTTCATGCTAATCAATTTGTCATTAATGTGCCTTTGTCCTAAGCTTCAAGTGGGTAAATCAGCTCATCATAGTAAGAAACCTGAAGCTAGAAAGTATTTTAAGTAGAAACCACACAACAAAAAAATTCCATGGTTAATAATTCTGAAATACGTTTCTCTATGTATTGCAAAGATGAATCCCTATAGTGATCTTCTCTATCACCTATGAACATAAGTAGTTAGATATTTCTTACTCAAATTGCGTGTTGTGTTTTATTAGAAGAGTTTGTCAGTGGCAGCATCAGAACTTAAGGCAAGAAGAAATCAGGTTCTAATAATGCATAATGAAGAGAGTTATCATGTCAGGCCCTCCAAATTCAGTGACTGATAATTTAGACAGCTTCTGCTTCCTTTAGTAATC